AGACAAAATCATGAACCGTCACCTAGATTTACATATATGTACATTTAAGTTATTATTAATCATAGTACGAAGGTGTAAACACACTTCGAAACTGGGTGACATAAAACTCATCTATCGACCTGTCTGAAAGAAGTGAAGGACCCACCCACACTTGACAGCCACCTCGATCCGTGATAGATTGCTATTTAAATGGGATGACTTCGCGTAATAAACATTTTTCGCATTTTCAGATCGCGGCACGCGAACGAATATGCGTCAGTTTATCGAATTTTGATCGTATTTATTACGCCTAAGTGCTTAAATTATAACTCTAGGTAATAAAATTCTTGTTAAAAATTTGGGGCTATACTATAAAAGCACCCAAATTAATTTCAACCATTCGTTTGCAGTCCTTGGAGAATATGTATTAATCAATGAAATGGTCCGTGTCGGACTCAAGACACAAAGTAATACTAGTTTAAACTGATGTCATCATACACAAGCCACCAAACAGGAATCACGAATTGAAAATCAAATTTTTCGTTAGGTCTGTTCGTAGTTTAATTTTTTTTTATTGCTTAGATGAGTGAACGACCTCACAGCCCACCTGGTGTTAAGTGGTTACTAGAGCCCATAGACATCTACAAAGTAAATGCGCCACCCACCTTGAGATATAAGTTCTAAGGTCTCAGTATAGGTACAACGGCTGCCCCACCCTTCAAACCGAAACACATTACTGCTTCACGGCAGAAATAGGCGGGGTGATGTTTGGTACCTACCCGTGCGGACTCACAAGAGGTCCTACCACCAGTATTTTTTGTTAATACTCCATAATATATTAAATAAAAAAAACTTACAAAAGTTTCAGTACTGTTCCAATAATGCATCAATTTATTGAATTTTTTGTAGATATCTACTTCCTGGAATTAGATGGATCCTCGGTAATGATTGAGCATCTTCATAAAAAACTAGTTGTATGGTTTATGATCTCACATTTATTATTTACATTTCATTATTTACAATGTTTCAAATTTTCGTGCTCACGTAAAAATAGCTTTAATTACAATAGGTCTACGAGTTGCGAAGACCGCATATAATACATAAGTATAAATTTTGTTTGTGGAATTTCTATCGTCTAATTTAATTTTATTTAGTTTGCAATGCATACAACGAAATGGCTTTTCCGTGTGCAGTTTAACGGGTTCTTCTGCTATCAGACATCGCACCAGTATACCACAGACTCACGTATAGTAAAAGCTACTGTAACATAGAAGTGGCGTTCCAGGAATCGATTACGTGACGACGCCCGCGCCGGACTCCGAGCTAGCAATCTATGGCACTTTGTAATTCTACGCAAAATGTTCTTTTGAAACTAAGCCTCTACTTTATTGAGAGTTTTCATTGTTTTCGTTGGGCTATTCTAGACAGACATTACTTAAAAAATTCATTACCTATCGAAATTACTGTTTAATTATTTGGTATTTTAGTGAAAGAACTAATCGTATGTAAACTAAATAAATTAAAAGACTAAATAAATATATAAAAAAAAATTAATTTTATACGCACGAAAAACAATAGAAACTGTAAAGGAAGGATAGTTTTTTGATTACTTTATAATGTTATAATAAAAACGTAATAAAAATGTATACGTGGAAACACAAACGTACGTACATATATGCAGCCATATTTTATAAGGAAATTGTTACTTCAAATTTGATGGGCGGAAATAATCAATTTGATACGAAACAAGCAGTGATTACTTTTGGCAAACTGATTGACCACCAGTTTGGCGAGCCTAAATAATATAAACGCTTCAGTACAAGCGTTTACCACCAGGAATCAAGAGGTATCTTGTTATTTTTTAAATTAACTCAATACCCATTGCTTTGTCAGAGCTTTATACCGTTACTGTTCATCTTCAAGGAAGCGTTAGTGTTAATAAGCTAATAATAAGTTACCATTGTTTCATTAAAAAAAGTACCTGCCGGATTCTAACACCGATCCAGTTGCATCGCTCGATACGAATGCACCGGGCGTCTTCTCCATTAGACCACGACGAATTCAGATATATTTAATAAAGCCAGTGACTTTGGCCGGCATTTGAACTCCAACCACGTGTTTTAGTAGTCAAGGCTACCGACCATTAGACTATCAAGGCAGACCAGTGTGAACAGCTACGCGTGAATATATGGATTATTGTAAACGATCCCACAGACACAGCCCACTGAGTTTTTCGTCGGATCTTCTCAGTGAGTCGCGTTTCCGATCCGGTGGTAGATACTGCGAAGCACTGTTCTTGCTAGGACCGGTATTAGCAGCACTCCGGTTTGGGCCCCGTGAGCTCACCTACATGTTACGGCGAAGCTGAAATAGCCTCTGAAGACTATCAGCATAGGCAGGAAAAAAAAAAGTAAAAGATGTTCCTGTTTGAAACAAAACGCGCCTTACATTGAAGTATCTTACAATATGTGCGCACGGCAACAAAAATAGTAGACGCATAACTCGCTTGGAACTTATTGTGCAGCAGCAAAGTTTCTGATGAAGAAATTTTGACTCGTTATGTTTATGGGCTCCGGCAAGCATTGGGTGGGCCGATAGCTCGTTTAGCCATCTGAGCAATAAAAAAACATAAACTCAATATTCAAAATCCGAGTCCTAGTTTGATTTAAATTTTCTTTCATGGAATAAACTTACGCGGACAAAGAGTAGGTACTTTTCTGTGATTTTAATTTGAAATTGTTTGCAGATGTTGTAGTCGAAATTCAGTTTCGCTTAATAAAGGGTAATGTTATAGTAAATCAGCAATGACTAAATACAAATCTAAATACTACCGCGCCGGGGACTGTTGTATGTGTTATCAGTGGTATGGCAATGTTGATTATGTATCATGTGTTCAACCACACTCTTGTTTGACTTCGTAAACAATACTTCACTGAAAGTCTGTACTTTATCAGTGTAAAACAGACTAGCGGCCCGCTCCGGCTCCGCTCGGGTCTTTACCAAAAAATATATGTTAAATAATAATTGTAAATAATAATGTGTTCTAAAAAGTCGTATTGCATTATTTTATTCTATCATCAATAGTTTTCGTAGGGCACGCGATGTAAAGAATATTTTAAGTAATTATTTTACACCTTGGGTTACATTATTGGAGTTTTAGTAAGGATCCTTAATAAATTTTTTTAAAATGATTATAGCCTATGTAACTCGGGAATAGTGTAGCTTCGAAAAAATTTTTCAAATCGATTCAGTAGTTTCGGAGCCTATTCAATATAAACAAACAAACAAATCTTTCCTCTTTATAATTATATAATATATATAATATATAATATTAGTATAAATAACTGTATTCACATTTGTTTTTTTTCCAGTAGAGAACTTCGCAGCTGATAAACTATTATGGAATGACAACACCCACAATTGTACAAAAGTATGAAGACTACTTAAAATAATTACACATTTGTTCAAATGACAAAATACAATTATACCTACATATTATATTCATAAAAATATTTCATGAAGATTGAAGACATAATTTTTTCATGGTCATTGCTTATTTTCGTTTTTTTCGCGCGCACTTATTTCAATTTTTCTTATGATTTAGAAATAGAACGCCGAAGTATCCATTGTTAACTGCCACATTTAAAATATTATGTGAGTTCTTATCATAAAAATAAAAATGCCTAGTAATGGTGGCTTTATGGACGTCAAACAAACGCCGTAATAAAATTACAAGGAATAATATCTACTAGACGTTCCGTACGTAATGTATTGTAATGATAACATCTCTTTTTATAAGTACGTGTATCGTATAATCTTAGTTAATTAGACGACTATGTCTCAACTCAAGCCACCGAGTCACAAATGGAAACACGAATGATTATGTCGTTTCATTAACTAGAAACTTTTTAATGTCATGTGAAATATCTATGATTATGTTAATAGGTACTGGTCGTCAATCGTTTACTTGACTTGAGCCGTAAACTATTTTAACATCTTATTAGAATATTAACTCGGTTCGGATGTGTATTGAAATTGCTGCATTCCATATTATAATAGTATTATTGGGCAGTATGTGTTTAGCGGCTACCGTAGCATGGACGCATTTTGTGTTATCTATATATTTTGTAACAATTATAGTTAGAGGCGATATTTTTTTAATCGTCAGGTTTAGTGTTGTCCTCATCAAATTTGCCCAGTCTTCTTAACTAGACGTTCGTATTCATAAAACAATGTTGCTTCTGTAAAAACCGCAACGTCTATACAACAATTTAATATTACTAGTGCTAGTATAACAGTATTTAAGTTCATATCATTACACTGTAATTAAGTCAGTACATGTACTGGTGGTAGGACGTCTTGTGAATCCGCACGGGTAGGTACCACCACTCTGCCTATTTCTGCCGTGAACCAGTAATGCGTTTCCGTTTGAAGGGCAGTTGTAACTATACTGAGACCTTAAAGCTTATATCTCAAGGTGGGTGGCGCATTTACATTGTAGATGTCTATGTGCTTCAGTAACCACTTAGCACCAGGTGGGCTGTGAGCTCGACCACCCAACTAAGCAAAAGAAAAAGTTACGAATTGTGTTCAGCGACGATGTTGCCAAGTGAATAAATAATTCACAAAATAAAGTTAAGTAATTCACAAAATAAAGTTAAGTAACATATTATAATTCACACCATCTGTAACGATGAGTTGTCTTTAAAAGGATATGTTATTTATTTATGCATTACGAACGTCACAGCTTTATAACGTACGCGTGCATGTAAATACGAAAGTAGGCCATCCTGATTAACAGTACTAACATATCGAGAGATCCGAACTCCTTACTTTGTTCTCACTAATTGTTATCATGCACGGAGGAAGTAATAAAACCAATTCGAATATATCGTATCAATGAATACAAAACAGCTTTAAACAGCTGTCGCTGACTGAACTAGAATTTCAATTGTAATCTCGACGATGAAACAAAACAGTTTTGGATGACAAAAATAAAATATAATCAAAATGATATTTACCCGTAGATCAGAGCTACCGGACGACGTGGAGGTGCTACTGCTGTCGATCCTTCCATTCCGATACATTTTCCTTCACTGTTTTTGTCTTTGTAAATACTACGATTTCGCGTCACAACGTAACAATAAACCGCGTTGTCTCTCAGACGATATTTGTTCAATTTTCATCTGTTAACACTGTTTAGCGGGGCTGTGTGCACACATTGTTCCGACTGTCCGCATAAAACGAATTGTCTATCGTTTTCATCTTACACATGACACGGCATTACCGACGGACTGTTAAAACGAAAGAATATGTATTAGTTCGTACAAATGCGCCTTGACGAACGGGTTAGTGACGTCATTACTATTTATTTAGTCTAAATTAATACGAACGCAAACGGATATTATACGAAATGTTATATTAAAGTAGATCGCGTTGTAAACAGGGCCTGGCCGTATACACCTGAGACGGGGACTGGCATACGTGACACAAGAAGTGGTTTTATCGATAAATTGAAACATAACATTGTTATCGCACGCGATTGGCATTGTCGGTTGTATCGGTTATATTTTGGCTGATAAAAAAAAAATGCTGTCACCTTGAATGCTGATTTTCGGATTTACGTATGTAGATGATGGCAGCGTTTTGTTGAACTAAACGATAACTTAAAACAAGTCAGATTTTATTTATGTACCGTAAGTGTTTAGTGTCAGTTTATTTATTTAGATAACAATGCACGCTTCGCGTAGCTGGTGACTTTATTAATAATAAAATTTAAACATAAGACAACAGTAATTCGAAAAGTTGCTCGGCTTTATGTAGCAAGATTAAATACCGCATATTTTTAAGTTTTTATAAAAAATACGCATATGATTTATTTCGTCGGTGGCGAGATGTTTTTATTACGTAAGAAAACCGCCAGTAGTTATCGACGTTAAGATTAGAAGTTCAAGTACAGACAGCAGTTAATCTTTGAACGATTCTATATGACATTGATTATATTTTAAATAATGATCATTATTTTTAAACGTGTTTTTACTTTAACTATTAATTTTAGCAGATATGCTGTCTTCATATATGTATTATAATTTATTATTTTTTCAGATTTAAAATTACATAATTGGAAGCGACAAATGTACTTGAATTGAGATAAAATATAACATTATTTTAAAAATAGTTAAAACGTTTTTTTTTTGTATTAGCTTTTTAGAATGTGAAAGCCAAAAAAAACTTTACTTTTTATGAAAATACTAGCATTAAAAAAAACAAGTAAGCTTGATATGTTCACTAAGATTTGACTAAGAAGAAACTGTCTCTAATCCAAACCATTCAATAGCACAATACGAGACGACAATGCTTGCGCACAGATTTCGCGAGACCGCTAGAACACCGCGGCCCACACCCGAAGTTATTTATAGAGCGGATATGTGGCTATAAAAGGATTTTGTCTCAAGATGGTTATTTTGCGAATATGTATCGCGAAAAGGCAAATTCGCGTGCGCGTGAGTCTGACGGGACGCGCGGCGACACTGGTGGCTGTGGCGCCGCAGAACTCGCGTGCGTTGCACCTGACTCGGCCCGCGCCCTCGCTCGCCTTCACTATCCAGCCTCGCAATGCTCCGACTTCCAGGTACTCGCACTGAGATCACCATTATTACCTACAGCTACAACGTTCGCATATTTCAACTAATTTCCCTTCCTGATAATGTTGAAAAACGTATCAGGATTACGAAGACGTACATCTTATATATAAAATTCTCGCGTCACAATGTTCGTTACCTACCATACTGCTCTGAAACAGTTTGACCGATTTTTATGAAATCTTATATGCATGTTAAGTAGGTCTGAGAATCGGCTACTATCTATTTTTCATACCCCTAAGTGATAAGGGTTGTCCACCCCTAACATCATTATTTTTTGTTATAATGAGGCATTGTTGAATGAGGTTTTGTTATTTTTATATTCCCTCATCGTTCACAGCGCTACATGCCTCTTTCACTCATTTACCACATCCTTACACACTTACAATAAGTTAGTTTTTTTTGTTCTACACTAGAAATTCCCTAGAAATCTTATATATGGCAAAACAACGTTTTCCAGGTCAGCTAGTTTTATATATGCTAAAATGAAAGATGCTTCGAACTCGACAACCTTAAAATAAACTTTCTTCCGAAGTTAGTAAATATTGGGGTATTTACTAAACTTTGGACGGTGAAAGAATGTTAGGTTAAGTAAAGTATCTAAGTAAGTAGAAAAGTTAGTTACGAAGATGGTTCATTTTCGTTAGAGGAAAAGCAAGCATAAAGTTCAGAAATTATGTTTGTAGTAACAGTCCGCATTACGTTTTATTTATCCAATCAGAACTTTAAAACTTATAAATTACTTGACTCTTGACTCTACGTAATTATGTAATGTAGTTACTTAAAATCACCACCAAGGTAACAGGGAAATGCGTAATCCATAAAAAAAGATAAATTACACAAATTAGTATTTTATTAAATTTACATTTTATTATAAATTCTTGCTTATTTAGATACCAATCTATCAAATAGGACATCCGAATCAGTTCAGCCCAAAAACATTCAGAACTATTTTACACCATTGCTAGTACGAGTCAATAAGCTCACGGTTAACTTGATGTTAAGTGGTTACCGGATCCCATAGACATCACAATGCCAATCTTTCTTAAAACTTGAGGTTTCACTTGTATAATAATTACGCAAATTATAATTTTTGCGGATTCGATATAAATGTATTCATCAAAACATGTACTTTCGTCGTAAAGTCATTTCATTGGAAACTTCATTTAAAAAAAATTATACATGTCGGTAGGATTTAGGATTTGAGCATGGGTATAGCACGATACAAGTAACTGTTATACTAGGCAGGCATCTTAGCCCTTAGGCCAAGACGAGTTCAAAACATAATATATCCAGATATTAATCAGTAGATAAATGTATTCAATCATGGTCTCCTCGTGCTTCCTCCTGAGTCCCTCACTAGAAGCCTGATTTGTTACCACTATCATGTTTATTTCCAGCGTGTAGCAATCATGGTATCCGGTTTGTAGATTAATATCATCATATTCCAATGTTATATAACTAATGTATGAAGGTATCCAAAACAGAGCAGTTACAATTCATTACACTTTATAATGCTACCATATCTGTTCAGAAACCGAACTAAATATTAGTTAGACTATAGAAACGATAGACTAAAGAACTTCTTTTTTCTAACTATGCTGATAGCCCCGAGAGGCTATTTCAGATTTACCCTAGCGTGTGGGTGAGCTCACGGGGCTCAAACCGGAGTGTTGTTAACACTGGCCCTAGCAAGAGCAGTGCTTCTGAGAATCTACCACCGGATCAGAAACGCGACCCACTGAGAAGATCCGGCGAGAAACTCAGTGGGTTATATCTATGGGTTAATTTACTCGTAGAGTCCTTCATCGCAAGTGATGGGTTCGGCGAGGACGGTGCTTGAGGTCCCTTAAAGCACCGTTAATAGATCCGGAGGATCCGTAATGACGTGTCGAAGAACTAACGCAGTATCCTTGCATCTCTGTTCGTGACTCAATGGTGTCTTGCAAGTCTCTATTATTTTAGAGTAAGTATATTATAATATTATTACATATTATTCTATTATAAGATGTATTATTCCCGAAGCAAAACAAATGAAAAAAAAAACCTTTAATTTCCATTCTTCAATTGTGAGTTCCGTGATTATTTCAAAATGAGATTATCTATAGACGATATAAATAGATACGTCTTAAAACATAACCTCTTTATCAACGAGTTCGTGTTAGTAAAGTTGTTATTCAGTCCAGAGTGAACATGTTTTATGTCTTTCGGTATTGTATGTACAAGCTTTTTCACTTACGAATGTCTTGGCATTGTTTTATTTGCTCTTACTCGCATTCGTTAATATGTATCGCACGTGAAATCGATGTTCCGACAGGTATCGAAGTTACATATGGAGATCTTTCATCGCATTAAATGTAATATAAAAAAAGTGATATATCTATTACATTGTTTTATTGCGTAGAAGGGTAATCGAGCTCACGGTCCATCTGATGTTAAGAGGTTACCGAACCCCATAGACATCTATAACGTAAATGCCGCTTCCCACCTTGAGATAAGAGTTCTAAGGTCTCAGTATAGTTACAACGGCTGCCCCACCCTTCAAACCGAAACGCATTACTGTTTCACGGCCGAAATAGGCAGGGTGGTGGTACCTACCCGTGCGGACTCACAAGAGGTCCTACCACCTGTAATTACGCAAATTACAATTTTGCGGGTTTGGTTTTTATTACACAATGTTATTCCTTCACCGTGGAAGTCAAGCGTAAACATTTAAGCGTTAAGTACTAAGTACGTATTTCATTAGAAAAATTGGTCCCCGCCAGCGGGATTCGAACACCGGTGCATCGCTTGATACGAATGTACCGGACGTCTTATCCTTTAGGCCACGACGACTTGAAAGTATGTATGTCATTACAAAAGAAAGTGCCTGTGAGATTTGAGGGTTGAGGTTTGAAGGGTGAGACATCCGTTACACAAAATTATTTGGACTTGAACTTCACTTTCTAAGGTGGATTCACTTCCTAAGCGCCATTTACGCTGAGATATCTATACTATTTAACACCAGACAAGTTGTGAGATCGTCCAGCCATCTAAAGCTATACAAAAGCGGCCCTTCGAAAAAAAACCACAATGCTTTTTCGTTTATCTTTATTTACCAATTTTTCAATGCGTCTCTTGTAATACAAAACTGTCCCTATTGTCAGCTCACGTTTAAACTCACTTACGTAAGTACTTCAAGCAAAAGTATCGGTTCGCGTGTCCAGTCAGTACGAGTCGCACTCCTACGCCGAACACTAAAATTTACGAGCACTTTACGATTCAATTTACATTTAAAAAGGCACAAGTAACGGTTCTCGAGTGATCTCGGTTTCCGTAACAACAGCGCAATGTTCAACAATTACCATAGGTGCCGGCGCACCTCGGCGCCGTTCTGTTGTCGCACAAATAGCCTTTCTGCTAAGTGCTATGTGTGCCGCATACTAACTTCAACACAGAAATCTTTATTACAAACTCTTCGATTGCATCTCGAAGTGTCGAATGATAAGAATGAGAGATTTACATGACGGCAGAGAATGAGGTAGTATCTGTTTTTTGCAAAATCGCTTTTAAGCAGAATCTAAAATGACAGAATCGTTATCAATGCGTCCGATATCAGATTTGCAATTTTCTAAGCCAATGTTTGTACATTGGTTCCTATTTATATAGGGAAATAACAATAAAATACCATTTTCTTCTGTATTTATCAGTCGATTTTCTTTGGTATCCATTAATAATAATTATTTTTAAGAATATATTTTTATAGTAAGATTTTGCCACAAATGTAAATATAAAAATTAAATTGAATACATAAAACGAGTCGAACTCTATAATTGTTGATGTTTATTATCGAATAACAGACACTAGTGAGTAGAAATGTTCAATTTGTTAAGTTCGAGTAATCGAGGTCCGGTTTTGAGATATTAGATCTAAAATTGTTCATATATAAGGATAGAATTGTAACATTATTTTGCAGTTAACAGCAAGCCTGAAAGTGCTAATATTTATCGAAAAAGAAAACCATAGAGGCATTACACACACCCAGAATTATAACGAAATTTACCGACTGAAATGTACAAATGCTTAAAGTATAGGTAGATTGCCTCTTGGCTTTATCCCAGGTGCTGTTGATGAACAACAATAACCACTAGCCATTAGGAGAATAGTATACTCGTCTGTCTTCGAAGATAATTATTATTATTAGTATTACTGGTGGTAGGACCTCTTGTGAGTCCGCGCCGGTGGGTACCACCACCCTGCCTATTTTTGCCGTGAAGCGGTGATGCATTTCGGTTTGAAGGGTGGAGCAGCCGTTGTAACTATACTTGAGACCTTAGAACTTATATCTCAAGGAGGGTGGCTCATTTACGTTGTGGATGTCTATGGTCTCCAGTAACCACTTAACGTCAGGTGGGCTGTGATGTCGTCCAACCACCTGAACAATGAAAAAAAAATCTTCGAAGGTAATTGAGAATATACATACATGAGAGTAACAAGTGTATTTACTCAATCTTAATAAGATATGGTTGATCGCTTTGTCATACGTACTTAAGATAACATTTGACAGCTTCCTCTCCGCATCAATATTGATCAATCGGCGCGGAACTGATTTGGTAATCTGAGAGTTGTAGATCAACTTTTTTTTTCTTTTCTTACCTATGCTGATTGCCTTGAGAGGTTATTGCAGTTTCCCCCTAACATGTAGGTGAGCTCACGGGGCTCAAGCCGGAAGTGTGGCTAACACTGACCCTAGCAAGAGTGCTTCGCAGAATCTACCACAGGATCGGAAACGTGACCCACTGAGAAGATCCAGCGAGAAACTCAGTGGGCTGTGTCTATGGGTTAATTCACTCGTCGAGCCCTTCGTCGCAAGCGACGGGTTCGACGAGGACGGTGACCGGT